TATCTGGATTTTTAAACTTAGCAATTAGAGGGGACAGGAGTGGAACCAGGTCAGTAAAATTTCAAAGGGATAGCCATTAGTCTTCCTGTTATCTCGATGCTGGGTTCTGGAGATAACGGTAGACTAAGTAGATATTGTTCTCGCTTTTATATGATCTGTGGTTAGTGATTGTAAAAGAAAAAATCGAGTACTCAACTTATATAAAATTCTATAGAAACAGTATTCTTTTTTCCCCTTCATTCTTTTTTATTAGAAAATATTACTCAGGAAAAAGAAGGAATAAAAAAGGGATTTAATTATAACAGATAATGAGTAAAAATATGTCCCCAAGGTGACTGTATTGAATCCTTAGCAAGGAGCAGGAGTTCTGCAAATGGACTGCAAAACTTTTCTGGGAAAGGTGGGGAAAGTTTCGTACTTTTGTCATATCAACAAAATTAGTGTAAGTAGAACAAAATGAGAAAGGAGAGAATGACATAGACGGTTTCAGAGAGCTAGGCAGGGCAGGTCCTCTGGGTCTTCAAAATCCCTTAAGAACATTTAATTATATTCTAGATATGTTCTAAAACTATTGAAACCTTCTAACCAGAAAACTAATGTGATTAAATTTGCTTCTTGAAGCTTGATCACTCAAATTATTGTTAAGAGAATTGATGGACTGGAAAAAGAGTAGATGTAATGAGATCAGTTGGAAGGTACTGCAGCCACCAGGAATGAAATGATGTATATGGTCACCAAGGAGGAGAGAATGGAAAAATTCAAGAAACAGTCTACAGGTAGATATGACAAGAATTTGATAGCATTGAAAATGATAATAAGAGAATAGGAGGAGGTGATGAGGATTTCCAGTTTCTGGTGCTTAGAACTGCATTCTAAAGATGAAGGCCACTAGAGGGAACACATATAAGAAGATAAAGCACCAGAGTTTTTCAGAGGGTACAGAGGGTAGGGCATTTGTTTTGCATACAGCTGACCTGGGTTCAATCTTTGACATCCCATATGTTCCCCCAAGCATACGAGAAATAATTCCTGAGCACAGAGCCAGGAATAATCCTTGTGCCTAGCCCAGGTGTGGATCCAAAACAAAACAAAACATAGATGATAAAGCTTTGGTTTGAAAAATAGTAAGTGAGAGATGTAAGAAAGTGAGGGATTGCATATACTGTCCAGAGTCAAAATACTTGTTGGAGGTATCCAGTTGGGCATATTTAGCACATTAATAATATTTATAGTCATGAGAAGGAGGGATTGTATTTTAAAAAAAAATTTAAGATAAGGGAAAATAGAGAGCCCAGACAGAATACAAAATGTAAAGGATGTTGAAAAGGAAGCATCAGAAAGCAAGAAGGAACACTAAAAAAGAGACACGTTAGCCAGGTCAAATATCTGATTCAGGAAGGAGGGAAGTTAGTTTTATTGCTCGTTGTTTAGGGTCATGTATAATAAAGCTGAAATTTACATATTAAAAAGACATATTGGTCAACACATTGGACTTTAAAAGACACACACCAGAGCATATAGTTATAAAATTCCAGTATATCCCAGTCCAAAAATTATATTCTAAAATCTTTTTAAGTAGTGAGAGAGGAATAAATAGAATGAACCATATAAAAAGATGAGAATTCAGAATAGCATGAGAGGAGCTGAGAGGTAATACAGTAGGTAGGGTGCTTGCTTTGCATGTGGTCATCTCCAGACCCCATATGCCTACCCCAGTCCTGCCAAGAGTGATCCCTGATCCCTGAGTGCAGAGCCAGAATAAGACCTGAGCACTGTTGAATGTGGTCAAAAAAAACAAACAAAAAAAATTAAAAGAAAAAAGCATGAGAATTCTGTAAAGAAACAGTTAACACCAAGCAACGAATAAATATTGCCTTTGAAAATTCCAAAAGAAAATACTTTCTAACTAGAGTTATAGTCATAGTGAATTAAAAGCAGAAGAAACGTTTACTCAAACGTTAAAAAGTTTCTATCGTCTGTTATAGGAAGTACTGAAGGATGTGACTTCAGAAAATGAAAGCAAAGTCAGAGTCCAAGAAATAGAAACAAAACAGAGAGAAGTGGAAACCTCTGAGTGGAGATCCCAAGGATGACAGTACTGCAGTTTAGAGACCGTCCTAGCAGACATTGCTGGAATGAGAACTTCAGGAGAGATCGAGGGAAAGAGGAAAGGCTTGAAGGTGAAGGGGAGTGTGTGAGAAAAACTGATAAACCTCCTCTTGAGACATAATTTTTCTGTTGCCATTGTTGTACCGGGGAGACATCCCTAACTGGGCTTTGTTTGGAGCAGATTGGGAGCAGCACTTTCACTTGGTATTGCTCTGATCCCATGTGGTTTGGAGTACCGAATTCAGGGTCTCCCACATGCAAGACACAACTCTATCATTGCCCCAGTCACCAATTTCTTTTGACAACATTCTTATGATGTTTCACAGGAAGAAAAAAATTGATTTTAAATGAGTAGCAGGTAGACAAAAACTGAAGTTATCCATTCTAGTGTTAAAGAGCAATTTTTAAAAAGGATAAAATTATGACTGTAATATGAATACAAATGAATCTGTGTCAAATATTTTATTTAACAAATTATTTTAGGAGAGAAACAGCAAAACATAAAAGCAAAACAAAGGGGACATTCAAAAAGTAAAATGATATACAGGGAATAATGAATTCTGAAATGAATTTATAAATAGAAGCAAATGGCATATTTACAGAGCAATAATCAACAGCATTCGTAGTACCTTTCTAGTGCTCTGGAAGAAGTCACAATCTCTGTAACTTAAAACAACAAGCATTTATAATATTGCAGTTCTGTAGTTCGGAAGTTTGTGTAGGCTCAGGGCTCAGTTGAGCTGTTGAAGTTCTGAAGACTAAGAATAAATTGTTCACTTGCTTGGACTTATGGAAGCTATAAGGAAGAATCTGAAGCAGATTCTTCATTAGAGTCTGTTTCAGACTTTTTTCCTGGTTGCTTCTGGTTCCATGCCCCTGTGGAAATGAGGGCCTGATTGTCCTTGCTAGTTGTCCTCTAGAATTGTGTCAGTAACAGAAAATGCCTCTCTGGTCCTTGCACATGGTCCCCTTCATCTTCAAAACCAGCAACTATATCTTAATCCCTGCTTGTGCTTTGAGTCTTTTCTCTTCTGACACTAACTAGAGAAACCCCTCTAATGGGCTCGTGCATTTAAGTTAGATGTACTCAACTAATATCCCTTTTCCTATGTAACAAATTATAGTCAAAGGAATCACATCTCATTCTCATGTTCTTCCCACACTTAATGGGAAAAGATGATAATCCTAGAACAAAGGTCAATGGAGAATTCTTACATTGTGCCTTCTGCAATTTCTGCAGTATTTCCCCATATACATCCAGTTGCATTTCTATAGAAAATAAGAATTTGCATTTTTGCCAGTTTTCTATAACTTACATAGAAGTTCTAACAATTTACAGTAGGGAATCAGCAGACAATGCCAAATCTGGAGATTATTATTTAGACTATAAGATAAATACAAAAAAAATAGCTAAAAGACTGCCTTTGAGAAGTGGGAATAGAGCAGTTGAAAGAACTTGAGCTGGGCCAGAGCGATAGCACAGTGGGTAGGGTATTTGCCTTGCATGTGGCCGACCTGGGTTCGATCCCCGTCATCCCATATGGTCCCCCAAGCACCACTAGGAGTAATTCCTGAGCGCAGAGCCAAGAATAACCCCTGAGCATCGCTGGGTGTGACCCAAAAAGTAAAAAAAAAAAAAAGAATTTGGGCTGCTGTATTTCATATGCAGATAATGACATAGAAAATCCTGGCTATAAAAAAAAAGAGAATGGAAATGGTAGGTTACCTACCTCAACTCCATCTAGTTCTTTAAGCTTTTACTTTACAAGATTTATTGTTAGGACTGAGAAATCCCGAACTATGGGGAAAATGGTCTATTGGTTAAACACATATTTCTACCATAATTATTCCTCAAATAAGACCCAGTTCCTAATTTCATTTACATTTTAAACTAGCCACCCAAGATGACAAGAAATAGAGAAAAGGAGGAGATTTTGATTTGGATATGGATTGGATATGGATTGGATGCACACTAGCACAGCGGTAGGGCATTCGCGTTGTGCAGCTGGCCCGGCAGAGCGGGTTCAATTCCTCCGCCCCTCTTGGAGAGCCCGGCAAGCTACCGAGGGTTTCTCGCTGACACGGCAAAGCCTGGCATGCTACTCGTGGCATATTCGATATGCCAAACACATTAACAAGTCTCACAACGGAGAGGTTACTGGACCCTCTGGAGAAAATCAATGAACAATGGGAGGACTGTGCTATAGTGCTACTTGTTATGACATATCTGCATATCAGGTGCTGAGATTGTAATGATACCTCATTTGATGCTATTATTAGTCCTATAAGGTCAAAGTACTGTTACCATGTGACATATGAAGAATCTGAGATGATCAAAGTGAATTATTAATTGATAACAAGATAAATAATATTAGTTACAATTAATTAAACACTAAAGTGGCAGGTACTGTGAATGGATTTTAGATAATAAGGATTATTTAGTCCCCTGTGAATGACTGAGTGATAGCACAGTGGTAGGGCATTTGCCTTGCACGGGGCCGGTCTGGCCAACACTTGTTCGATTCCTCTGCCCTCTCAGAGAGCCCAGCAAGCTACTGAGAGTATCTCGCCTGCACGGCAAAGCCTGGCAAGCTACCTGTGACATATTCGATGTGCCAAAAACAGTAACAAATCTCACGATGTAGATGTTACTGGGCCCTCTCAAGCAAATCAATGAACAGGAGGACAGTGACAGTGACAGTGACAGAATGACTGAGTGGGAACTAAAGGTTTTGATTCTCTTTCTATAGAAAGAAAATGAAAGCTCAGCATAGTTCAGGGGTTTGAGTTGGGTCTTCTAGTTGGGATTGAGTTTGTTGCTGCTATTCTCATTCCCTGAGAGTTGTGAAGCCAGCTTTCTTTCAAAGAAGCCCCCTGAATGAAAAATACCTATACTCACCTAGCAGGGGAGATACCGTGATCATGAAGGTGGTTTTCCCAGAGTAAGGTTTATCCACTACACTCTGGACATATGAACCCCTGTGATTTTCCAAAATGCGGGAAATTCACAGCATAACTTGTGGTAGTGGGGGACTGTGTTCATGATCACCCTGATGAAGAAAAAATTTTAAAAACTTTTTAAAAAGAAAAGAAAAAGACCCTTATAATACCTCTATATTGACCTGTATACCCATTTCTTGGTTGGGATTGATAATTGTTATTTTAACTTGTTTTTGAAGAATAAACAAAGATTGTGAAGACAAGGGGTCACACCCACCAACTGGCCCCCTGGCGCCATGTTATCCCATCAACGGCCAAGACTCAGAGACTGTAAAACCCAGCTCCCGGGAGTGCACGGCCACATTTGCGGCTGTGCAACATCTTATTATCTCATTCCTACTTTGGACAAACTGGCAGGCTACCAAATGTAATGTACCAAATGTGCCTGCTCACATGGCAGAGTCTGGCAAACTCCCCGTGGTGTACCCAATATGCCAAATACCAGTAACAATGATGGATCTCAATCTCCTAACCCTGAAAGAGCCTTAAATCTGGCACTTTAAAAAATCTCAGGGCTAGGATGAAGGAGACATTACTGGGGCCTGCTCGAGGCAATCGACGAACAACAGGATGGTCGTGATCGTGATCATGATCTTGTGAAGACAAGGTATAATGTCTATCATAGGCAATTGCTGTTTTTCCCTATGTGGAATCTTTACCCATTTATTCTGGCAATAATATCCTGATTTCTGTTGGAAAACCACTCCTCTACAATTAAGGTGGATGTTACATGATTGAGCTAATCCAGTTGGGATGTTCTATCCTTCTACCCACAGGGGTTGATACAGCTATGGTTTCCCAATTCAAGTCAGGTCAATAAGAATATGATGAAAGATTTTTACTTGGTTTCTTGCTAAAATTTTATGAAGAATTTTTATTGAGAATCAGAAGCACTTTTTCTGACAGTCTTAATAAAAACCATAGAATGTGGTTATAACTGTGCTTAAGGACATAGTGACCATAATTAAGGGGGGAAAATGAAGAATAAGAACCTCCCTAGAAGAAGTGAAGCCAAGAAAAGGAAACCAAATTCTTTTTTTTTTCTTTTTGGGTCACACCCGGAAATGCACAGGGGTTATTCCTGGCTCTGCACTCAGGAATTACCCCTGGCAATGCTCAGGGGACCATATAGGATGCTGGGAATAGAACCCAGGTCGTCTGCGTGCAAGGCAAACGCCCTACCCACTGTGCTATTGCTCCACCCCCAAAACCAAATTCTTAAGACAATGTTGAATGTCTCGATTCAGCTTTACATGGTGTCCCAAATATTAAATAAACCTCTGTCATTTCAGGTGGATACTTATTTCTCAGTCATAATCTAGAAAGCTCTCAGTTCAGGATTACCTAGAAACATAAAGAAAGAAGGAAAAAGGAAGAAAAACATAACAATGCAAGAGGAATAAACCAGGTATTAGTAGGAGGAAGCAGGAACCTTCAAAGATGTTCTTTATTTTCTACTAATGGGAAAATTTTAATTTACTGCAAAATATTTCTTAAAATTTACTTAGGTGTATAGAAGAAGTTGAGCTAGAGGGATAGCACAGTGGGTAGGGCATTTTCCTTGCACGCGGCCGACCCGGGTTCAATTCATGTGTCCCTCTCAGAGACCCCAGCAAGGTACTGAGAATATCCTGCCCACACCATAGATCCTGACAAGCTCCCCATGGCATATTCGATATGCTCACAATGGAGACATTACTGGTGCCTGCTCAAGCAAATTGATGAACAACGGGAGGACAGCGCTACAGTATAGAGGAAACTGAAGATAAGAGTAGACTTCCCAAAGTCATCAGTATTATTCCTCCATTTCTACAATTATGCTTACTGAATAGCTATTTGTGTCAAGTATTGTCCTAGGTGGGAATAGCTATTTGTGTCAAGTATTGTCCTAGGTAGGAAAAAAGATAAATGAGACAGAGTTCAAACACGGAAATGTAAGCAATCAATCTGTCAAGGAAAAAGTAAATTATGAAGCAATGTGTAAAATGTTAAAGAGAAAATATTGCCATAGCACAGATAAAAGATTAACCAACGGAGGGTGGCAGCAGCAGAAAGACCTTGAGTCTTAATGACAAGTGAGTTCGATTTTGAAGGACCAGAAAAATGGTAATACCTAACATTCATCACGTGGTTGTCATATGTCAGGAACTATTTTTCACACTTTTCATGTATTACCTGATTTAATCCTTACAATCCAAAAGAGTGTAAATTGCTACATCAGTTGTTATCATCAATTACCACTCAATCTGTAGAAATTGAGACAGAGATAAATTAATTTGCCAAGTCACATAGCAGAAAAATAATAGTGAGAAACCATTCTCTCATGTGAAAGCTATTTGGAAAGTAAAAACTATTTGTAGGAAATAATTTCATTCCAAGAATAAGGGAAATATTTTCACATACTAAGAATGACAGGGAAAGTTCCAAGGTCTTCCCTTTTGGTCTTCAACCTCGGTACTTAAGGGCATATACCCTTTTAGAAGTCCCTAAGTTTTGAATAGGGTGTATTTTTACTGTGCTAAGGATTCAAACCTGGGCATGCTTCTAAAAGCAGCTGAAGTTTCCTCTGGAGCCCTCAGAGTTTCTGATTCAGTACCCTAGTGGTTTTCATTTTTAACCAGTTTTCAGATTGTGCTGCTGACTCTGAGGATCTGGGGATGGTATCTTGAAAACCACCACCCTGAGCTATGAGCAATAGTAATATAGGGCAATCTAGGGTTGGTCTTCAGTCACTCTGTTCTTTTTTTCCAGCCCTAAAGAACAACCACGATGACAAACTGGGCAGTTGTTGGCAGACCATGCAGAGACCAAACCATTGATTGGATAAGCTGCTTTGGGGAGGTTCTCATCCTTGCTGATGGAGGGAAATTCAATATCTGTTTGAAATGAAATTAAGATGTATCTTGCTTCTCTGCATCTGGAGGGAGTGAAAAATTCGATAAGGCAGTGAAAAAATACATAAATATACAACTGTGAATTGATTGCTTGGTATCATCATAAAGTCATCCTAGATAACCATAATTCTTTGTAATTCCATAGTAGTATTTCCTGAAGAATTTCAAAGTTCCTGACAGAACCCGTTAATCTTCCTAAACCTCTAGAGACTTTAGCATACTGCCTGAGACCAACAGTTTATTTTTTCCTTTTCAGATGTACAAGAAGGAAAACTTTTTGCCACATCTTTTATGCCCTATGTTTTCTGTTGTCTTTAAATTGCCCAGCTTATAAAAGTTTATAAATCTTAACTTGCAAATTTTAATTTGAAATGTTTGTTTTTTTTTCTTCTCCATGACTTGAAATTATATTACTTTCCATCTCCAGTTCATTTTTCCATGGAACTCTGCCCACTGAATGCCCACTTAAAAATGTGTTGGAAATAAAGGGATTAGAGAGATGGTCTAGTGGTTAAAATTCTTGCTTTGCATACAGAAACTCATTTGAGCACTGCACATCATCCTAAGCACCTCCAGAAGTAAGCCCTAAGCATTATAGGATGTGCTTCCCCAAAAGAAATGTTTTAAAGATTCTTCGGTATAGATTAAGAGAGTGACATCTCATCTCTAGTTGCCTGCTTTATCCTCTTTGGAAAAGTTTGAACTTGAACATTGAGTGTCCATCCACACTCAATGGTAGTGACTATGGACAGACAGCAAAAAGGCTGAGGTCCAAATTTGGCAAGAGAATAAAATCCATATAATACCAACTTTTTATGATGAATTGTAAAAGTAATATAATGGATCAAATGCTTTGCACCACATGTTGTTTCACACTGTCCTGAGAAATTGCCCAAATTGCTTGAAAACTTGGTAAAGATTTTGGTCGTTTTGTTTTTGTTTGTTTTGTAACCTTGTTTGTTCTGTAAACTTTAAAATTAAAGCTATTGGTTTTCTAGCACTTTCACAAAATCTTTTCTCACTTTCTAATCTAACACAGATGTGGCAAGACTATCAAAGGTTGGGTTCAATATATTTGGACCTCACTTTAAAAGAAAGCAGAATTATAACTTTTTTGAATTTCTGCCACCTACTGGCAACTCTAAGTTCTAGAAGTGAACACAGGGTAATAGCACTTCCTGTTTGATGCTGGTTATGGTCTTCATCTGGAGGGCTGTTAATTAGCACATGCTTGAACTGATCCTCGGCACATGTGACTTATTTAGTGAGAAAACACTAAATTGAATTATTTGGAAGATAGTATCCAGGCCCCAGAGCAACTCTTAACCATCTCTGCCTGGTAGACCTGATGACAAAGTAAACTTGGCATTTTTGGATTCCTCTCCTTAGTTGTGTGAGTCATTAGGCCTCAGGATTGGTGAGTTGGTGTCAGATGGTGCTGTTGTTTGCACATGTGTTGCATAACTCTCAGTGGCAAAGGCTGGTACACTTCTAGGTGTAATTCTAGAAGGCAGAAAGTGTATGCTTGTGGACTGCAAAATAAATCTGAATATTGATTTATATCTGGCATCTGGAATACATTCTGGAAAGTTCTTAGGGAGAGAATGTGTAATGGTTTGGGATTGCCACCCTAGTACATAAAGCCAGGATAGTGGGGAAAATCTTTCAGCTTGAATTACCATCTGGTTTCTGATGGCAATCTCGACAACCTAACCTAAACTAGGTTCTTGGATAATCTTTTCAAATGCATCCTTTACCAAAAATAACCTATATGCAGCCTATATAATCTTGTAGCCTATATAACTAAATAAACTATCTAACCTTTGTCTTAACCTTATAACTACTCTAGTCCTGTTTTGTTATTTGTAGGTGTGCCAAACTTCAAAGAGTCTCTTTCATTCAGAGGGGCAACCAAAAAGGGATCAAAGACTTGACTTTATTTTGCAAAGCCCTGACTGAAGAATTTATTAGGATGGTCAATCTCCCTTTGAAGATTGCTATCTGTGCATGTGAAACCTGAGTCCCCAGAAAGGCAGATGAGGAAAATCGTGGGGCAGTCACCAGACAGGAAGGTGTCATTTATACCAACCTAAAAAAAAAAAGATTTAGAGCAAAGATCAAAAAAGTTGAGGGTACATTGGACATATGGCAAAGAGTG